TTTACAAACTAATCGAATTTTTTATATGAAATAAGAAATACTCCCGAAAATATGAGTTTTCAACTTCTTACCATCATGGTACATAGTAGCTCCCGAAAATATTACAATAAAACTAAACTAAAATCATTGGTAGTTATTTACTATACTATTTAAAATACTATTCATCTAAATTTATTTTACTATTCACCTATATTAAGATGTATTATTCCTTTCACTATGCGATGGTATTTTTATAGTTTTTAAATATTTTAAAGATATTTATTATGAAAGTTTTTGTAACATTACACTTTGGTTTCTCTTTTTTAAATATTATTTTTTAATCCATGAATATTTTTTATTTGATTTTGGTCCTCTTTTTTTATTTCATTTTGGTCACTTTGGTCCTTGCTCGTTTTTTTCTTTGATTTTTTAATTAAAAATTTTAAAGCAAAAAGATGTTTAGAAAAAAAATAATTTACAAAATAAGGTCTTAGCTAAAAAAGTGAATAGAGATAAATAAATAATTTTTTTAATAAAAAAATTATGAAAATTTAAAAATAATTAGTCAAATACAAAGTTTTGATTAAAAAAAATGATAAAATTGAATAAATTTTTATTCAATTTTGATTTGATATATTTTAATAGACGCACAATATAACATGAGATATCAATATGAAATATTTTTTAAAAATAATTTTATGTATTTTATCCGATCTGTTCGTATAACGTGGGTAAAAAAAATAGCAATAACTAAAAAAGAAATGTCGAACAATTCAAAAGTCTTAGATTTAGTTCCCATTAACATGTCCTTGGAAAGTCGTAATTTTGAGCTTTTTTCTTAACAACAAAAAAGAAAAAAAATCCTTGATTAATCAAAAACTAATATTGCTTTGTGTTTTTTTTTCTTTTTTGTTGTTGAAAAATTGCACTCAATTAGCTTAAATATATTAGGGATTATATGCTAACTAAGGAGTGCGGTCCCGAACAATATATATATATATATATATGGTAAATTTTAATTTGTTTTCCTTAGATTTATGTGTTTTTTTTTTAATTTCACTTAAAACTTTTGATTTGTTTTAATCAAATCCCATATAGTTCATTTTTATTTAAATCACCACCACATGTTGAATTTTTGTCCAATCAGCTTACATATTTTTCACTTTGGTTCCTGCTTTTCCCCTCCATCCATTTTTGTCAAGTACATAAATTTTAATTTCATCCTTGAAGTTTGTAAAATATTTCAATATCATTCAAAAAGTTAAAAAAAATAACTAATTAAAATTAACAAAAATAGAAAATCGATAGAATATATATATATATATATATATATATATATATATATATATATATATATATATATGTGATAAAATTTGAGAGAGTTAGTTTCTAAAGAAATTCTCCAATCCTATCAACTTCAATTCTTACTTGGCAACCTTATCTTTTCTTTTTCTTTTGGCCACTACTATAGTTAAATTCAAATCAAGACTCAAATTAATTTAATTCGTTTTTATTTTTTGTCAAAGCAATCACCATTCTAATTCCTCTCAACTATCATGTCTCCTTTTTATTTGATGTTGTTGTCAAATAACGCTTTTTGTATGTGTAAATAATCATGCTCTAAGTGATGTTAAAATCACCCTCTACCCAAGCTATCATACCATGTATATGGATTTCAATTTTTTTCTAAATTTTTATTCAAGATTTTAATAGAAAATTGGATTAAAAAAAAATGTGGATATGATATGCTAGAGAAAGAGTGCACATGAGGTAGATATAGTGATGATTGATATTTTTTATTAATTTTTTTTATCATTGTCATAACCAAAATTTTGGGTTATATGTTTTCCTCCATTATGATCTCTCTAAACTATTATGTTTCCTTTTTGTTTGATGTTATTGTCAAATAACATTTTTTGTATATGTAAATAATCATGCTCTAAGTGATGTTAAAATTGCCCCGTGCCCAAGCTATCATTCCATTCATATCAATTTTTTTTTTTTAATTCTTATTCAAGATTTAATAGAAAATTGGATTAAAAAAAGGTGGATATGATATGCTAAAGAAAGACTACATGTGAGGTAGAAATAATGATGGTTGATATTTTTTATTAATTTTTTCTATCATTGTCATAACCCAAATTTTGGGTTATATATTTTCCTCTAATTTTATACCTTTTAGGTTTTTATTTTTTTATTATCCTCTTTTATTAATTTTTTCTACTTGTTTCTTATTTTTATTTTTATTTCATTTCATTTTATTTAATTTTGGTATTTACTACGAAAAAAAAGGAAAAATAAAAAAATACAATATATATATATATATATATACAAAAAATAAAAATTAATTACATTAAGGCATGATTGAATAAAACGAACCGAAACTAAAACAATTAAGGATACAATTAAAACAATTGAAAACCCCGAGATCGAAATTACAAAATAGAGGGACCTAATTGAAAAAATTAAAAACACATGGATTACAATGACACATTCGGATGGTATAATTAAAATAGAATTGAACTTACAAGGATCTAAATCAATATAGGACATGAACGATTGGACCAACTTGGGAACTATCGTCCAAGCCTCCCTAACAAAGTTTTAGCATGCCGGCTCTTGTATTTCACCATCCTCCGGCCTTGTTTATCTTTATCAATGAAGACAATAGGCCAAAAGGGACAACAAGCTAACTCTTCCTTGTACTACAATTCTCGTTCATGAATTACGGTGTATCCTTTGTTCTTTCATGCTGCACTGGACTCGCACACTCAAAACACACATAAGACACAATGCATAAACATTAAGCACGAGTTTTGGCTCTGTATGAATGGATAGTAAGTCGGAAATTTTGTTTTGTTGTGAGGGAGTTTAGATTTAAGGGAATTGATCCCGAGTGTGAGGGGAGGACTTTCAAGTATAAATAAGGGTCTTTCAAGAAGGAGGATAAAGATTACAAAAAGCGAAATAGAGGGAGGAACGACGAGAACAATTGAGTGCAAAAAGAGCAACGAAAAAGGAGGCAAAAACAATTAAAAGACAGAGAGTGAAAGAGAAAAATATGGGAATTTAAGAAAGAAAGAGAAAAACTATTGGAAATTTTAGAAGGAGAAAGAGAAGGGGTAGAGCGAGTGGTAGTAAAAGTAAAAGAAACAAAAATAGAAAGGCAAACCTATTTCAATCTTGCTCCTTGGGTTTTATTGCAACGATCCTTTCTTGCCAATAGAAGTCGTGACCATCACTACGAATTGCTTATCCTTAACCCGGTCTCCCTCTTCAATCGGATGAACCAAGTAAGCTTTCATTTCTCTCAAACTATTTATTTTACTTTCAATTATTGAACTGGTTTACCAAAGGTCGATGGTAATGACATAGTCATTGTCATCACGAAACCCTATTTAGGACCCATCTCCTTAGTGTTTGATTTACTTGAGTAATTAGTTGAGAATCAATTGAATTTAGTGTATCATAAGAAGGAAAGAGGATTCATTATAGACTTTTAGGGTAAGGATTTGGGCGTCCGGATAGATTCGAACAAAATAAGACCTAGGATTTTTAGATTTGAAGATGAGAGGAGATTTAAGGGTTTCTTTAAGTGATGGGTCTAGAATAGAAGTGATGACTCGGCTCCTTTTGTTTGAAATAGGATAAGAGATCGATCGATCTCAACAAGGAGGCACCTAGGTTGTTTTTTTTAAAGGATAGTTAAGATTAAAAAAAGACGACGTGTTTGCGGATCGTCGATGTGTTTTGAGTTTTAGGTTTGGTGAGGTGAGGAGATAAAAGAGCCATTTCTAGGTGAAGGTTTAGGTAGGTGGAAGAAGGAGTTCGAGTTTGGGTGAGGTGGAGGAGAACGGACATAGGGCTTAGAGATTTCGGGAGATTAAGTGAAAGACAAAATGTTAGAATGATTTTGGTGATTTGGGTTTGGTTGAGGTGAAATGTTTTAATCGTTTGGGGCTTGGTTTAGGCAAAGAATTAAAATGAAGAAAGGGCTAGGCAAAGTATGGAAGGAAGATGGGTTGAGCTGAACCGGGCTTGGAGTGGGCTTATCCCGACTAAGCTCGAAAGGAGGAAAAAGGCTGGCTCGTTAGGCCCAAAAGGCCTAAAAAGCTATTTTTCTAAATAAATTAGCTCTAAAATTTTGATACATGCCTTTGATTTTATGCCTAGTTTAGATTTAATATTTTAAATTTTTTATTTTCTTACATTTATTATTTACTTAGTCAATGTTTAGTTTTTAGGTTTTATTTCGATAACTAGATTAGATAATTAATAGATGGATGAGTTGTCAAGTTTTTTAATTTTTAGGGACCGATGGCAATGTATATATAGGGTTTATCCCATAATTAGTCCTTGTACAGTTTCAATTTTTTTTATTGAGATCCTCTATTATTTTTCAATTTGATTGAAACCCTCTACTTTTATAAATTTATTGATTGAGACCTTCGTTATAACATCGTTAACTATTCGTCTTACACGGTAATTAAAACTAATAATAGCCAATCGGATAATGACGTATGGCATAATGAATCCGAAATATCGGTGTTGTTATTATAAATTAAAAAATTAAAAATATTTTAAATATAAAGATTTTATTCTTTGCTATTCGATCAAACATAAAAAAAAGTAATTAAAAAATGGGTAAGAGGACTCGCCATTATTCATCTTCCTCCTTGTTTATTCGAACCACTAGAAAAGAAAACCATGGCTTTCAAATCCAAAATGACCAACCCATTTCATAGAAAACTCCATAGACATTAACTCCACCGCCACTAATTTCGCCAAAACCACTCTCTGTAATTTTTTTTTTATCGAAATCCTCTTCATCTACTATTCTAATATAAATCTAGCATTTTGGTTAAGAGTAAGATAAACCCTCTCCCTTTTTAAACATAAATTGAAAAAAAAAATGAAACTCTAGTTCACAAACAAGACATAGAGACGATACAAAGTCGAAACTTGTCAACGTAATGGATTCAAAAAAGATAATCAAAATAGCCTAGGTGATAGATACCACACTACACCTTAATGGTATACTTTCTCATTGGGAAGTACATTTCCCTCTTCTTCTCGTGATCGGTCTTCAATGATAGCCGATGCTTGGTAAGCCTCTTGCGGATGGCTCGAGTCTTCTTGGGATGCGGATCGAGAGGTAAGAGCTTCTTATTCTTGTGTGCCTCCCTCAATAAAACCTTCCGCTTCGTGAAATCATAACCAAGACTCGTGCAATGGACAACCTCACCACCTTGATCTTAGAGAGCTTGTCGAGAGCACGATCGGTGACCTTAGCAACACGAAGGAGAGCAAGCTCGGCTTTAAGATCCTTCAACTAAGCTAAAAGATCCGCCTTTGATTTCTGTCTCAACTCATGAACCTTGATTCTTTTGTCTCTTTCTAACCTTCTCTAACAATAACCGTGTGGCTCTCTCTCCGTAAATCAATTACTGCTATTAAAACCACACCTTCATAGACCCATCCCTTTGTCTATTTGAGCACTCCACCAAACATTGACCAATCATTCCTTGCTTCCTTATCACACATCATCACCACCTTCGGGTTTCACATTTTCTTTTCTCTTGGTTCCGTATTTATTCGAGTCTCTCACCTATCCTTATTTTCTTGTTTTAATTTTGTTTCATTATAAGGTTGAGCAACAAACAATATATTTTGATACAAAGATGAAGAAATTTTTCATGGGTGCTAAGTCTTAAATTTTAGGTGATGGAAAGGGTAGGGACTGTGATGGGCAAAGAGAGGAGATAGAGAAAGAGAACGAGAATTTTGAATGGAAAAAATTGATTTGGTTTCGGATGATGGGTGGGGGTAAATTTATCTTTTCCTTTCATTTTTTTTTAATTTTAAACACTAATTTATTATTAAAAATTTTTATATATCTTTTTTTAAATTTATGATAGCAACACTAATATTTGAGACCCATTATGCCACGTGTCGTTATCTAATTGACTACTAATACGTTCTAATTACCACGTAGGATGAATAGTTAACGTTGTTATAACGGAGAGTCTCAATCAATAAATTTATAAGAGTAGAGGGTTTCAATCAAACCGAAAAATAATAGAGGGTCTAAATCAAAAAAATTAAAACTCGTACAAGGACCAATTATGGGATAAAACTCAAATCAATCACCATTTACTAATTAGGTCATTTTTTGACATACCGAGTTATATTGAGACTTAAACTGGATCCAATGTTGAATTGACGAGACTCCGACGGTGGGATCCGAAGATCGATTCAATAAGATGCCACAAAAAAAAATCAATTGGCTGAGGAAATAGAACTTTGAATTTTGACTTAGGATTAATTTTGATAAAAATAGATATTTTTAGGAGATAAATTTAGAACTAAACCGGACATGGTACCTTTCTCATGAGATAGTGCTTTTTGGTGAATGATATATTTTAAAAGCTTAACCAACTCCTTATCTTAGAATCTATGAACTAGTATCAATTTTAGGTGGTGACTTCAAAGTTAATAATAGCTCATATCCTCAAATAAATAAAATTTTCAGCATAAATAATCACAAAAATTTCAAGAGTTCCGTGAATGTTGAGTAGCAACAATCATTACTATTTTTCACTTAATTCTATTCTTCTATTGTCAAAGGACTACTAGATGGTATCAATAAAAAATATATCTTTTTTTTGTTTGTTTTATTGAAAAAATATATTTTTTTAATGATTTTTCAATTTAAATTTTTTTATTCTTATTTTTGGGTTATATTGAGATCTTTCATAAACTTTGGAAATGAAAATGAAGCTTACACAAAGTGGAACAAAAATAAAAAAATATAGAGTCTAATTAAAATAAATAAATAAAGGTTTCAAGTAAATTGAAAAAAAGGCACAAATCTCATAGGAAAAAAATGAAATTTATCCATATATATATATGGAATAATGTATTTAATGATTGTATCTCTTTAAAGTTTGACTCGTGAATATATTAAAAAAATATTAGGGATAATTACTAGAAAAACCTTTCAAAAAAAAATCTTATATCCAAGTAACCCATCAATTTATTTTTAAATATCTCAAACCCAAAATAATATTTTTCTTACCAAAACACCTAATAGTTAACCTCCAACTTAATACTAGTTAACTATTGGGTCTTTTGGTAAGATGATTTTTTTATTTTTAGATTTGAGAGATTTAAAAAATAAATTGATGGATTTTTAAGATAAAAAAATTTTAGAGTTTTTTTCTAATAATAAACTCATTTCATAGTTTTTAATGAGTTTAATGTTTATTATTTTTTTCATGATGAAGTCAAGTTCTTTTTTATTGCATTCGAAAGGAGAAAAAAGTTTTTGAGGTTTTTTGACTTTCAAACACTAACATTCGACTACTATTTTTCTGTTATACTAAAAAAAATCCTTATATTAGAGTTTTTTTTTCTATAGACCGTTTGTTTCGTTAATTATGAGATTAATTTTACTATCTAGTAATTATAACAACCAATGCAATATGACTAATTAATATTGATGAATGAGACTCTTGTTATTCTCTTATAATTTAATTAAAGGGTTGTCATACAAATAAGAAAAATAAGAATATGTATGATTAAAATATGATCATCCATAATAAAAATGCATATCTTGAAAAATAATGGTTTTATTTAAACTAAGGATGGTTACCAAAATACCTTCTAAAAAATCTTCTATCTAAAAAATTCACTATTTTATTTTTAAATATCCCAAACATAAAATAATATTTTTAAATCTCACAAGCCTAAAACAATATTTTTCTTACTAAAACAATCAATAGTTAACAATAGTGTTAATTATTTGGTGTTTTAATAAAAAAAATATTATTTTGAGTTTGAGAGATGTAAAAATAAATTTATGGGTTTTTTAATAGAAGATTTTTTTATAAGATTTTTCTGGTAATTAAACACAGAAGGTTGTAGATAGAATAGTAAGAAGAATGTTTCCAACTTATTAATTCAAGGTTCAAAATTCTCATTCTAGAAAACCTTTTTTTTTTTTTTTTTTTTGCCACTAAACATGAGTTGGTTATGGATAAGAAAAAACTAGTTTTTAGTATCGATAAAAAAGTAGACATACTTCAGCAGTAACTTAGCTCATAATAATAAATTTAGTCTCTATTGATGTAATAATTTATCCGAAAATGCCTATATATATGATTTAGCTATTTAAATTCCATATCAAATTAAGAATGCCGACCATGAGCAAGAAGGTTCTGTATCTCCATAAATTTATATCTTTATTCGTTATATCTTTCTATTAATTTGGTGCCTTTATTTCAACTGATGATCTGACCATATATACTTTCGGTGATGTTCATTCCAGGTAAATGTAGTTGGTAAAGGAGGTTGTAGGAAAAACTAAAAAGCGAAGAAAAGAGTATTGAAAACCACCAAGAAGATGCTTCCTTTCGACATCCATCAAATCCCTTTTTTAAGTTCACCTACAAATTTGATAGATAGATACCAATTTTTGTAAGCTACAATAGATCTGGAAAAATAAAAATTAAGGTGATTTTCGAGGTTGTTCATTCTTAATTTGACTAATTTTTATGAATATGAGGAAATTATTGTAGCTAAATAAAGAGCTTTTTGTTTGTTTATTTATTTTTATCAACCTAAGGAAGAGTAGAAAATGTGATGGAAGTATAATATATATATATATATATTTGATTTCTAAAGTATTACAACCTAAAAATTAATATTAATTTTTTACTATTCGATCGAATACATAAAATAAACATAATTATATGAATTTTTTTTATATATAAAATTTAAATTTAAATTTATTTATTTAAACGATTAAAATTAACCGTAATACCAACCTCTTGATGGCCTACCAACCGGATAAATTATTTTCCTGTGTATGATGAAAAGGAAAAACATAAAAAAGACAGCATATCTTTTAGTTAAAAAACCAACAACATACTTTTGAAATTAGATTCGACATTTTAATTATTATACATTCCGGAACTGATATAATTATTGTTCCTTAATTTCTCATTTCTTAAGTAAATATGTTCTGTCAAAAAGAGTTCATTTTTTAACTCGAGATTCCCGAGAAATACAATGTAAGAATTCCTCTGCCAGCCTATTCACATAAAACTTTCGTCAAAGAATTTGGTTTCGGAACAGTGAAGTAACGTCAATGGACAATAGCTTCAGCCATCTAAATCAAACGTAAATAAAATCAAAGTATAAAGTTTTAGCTGGTCAAATCCCAAACATATCTGGCAAAAAGAAAACAATCTACCTTACGTTCTTCTACTATTGACATTAACCAGTCAGTGACTCACTAATCAGCACTGCAGCTACCATTTCTTTTGTTTTATGTTTTTCTTGGGAGTCCATTTGATATATAAGGAAGCTAGGACAAGCTGACAATCAGGCCGAGACATCTCAGCAGTTGAAGGTTCTCTCCATCTCTGCCACGCGCTTTAAGGAAGGGTTTGAAGAAAAAGTTGATATGGAAAAGAGAGAAATGAAATTATGATTTGTGCGAGTCCCAATAATTGTTTACCTCTGCCTGCTCCTTCTCGAGCCCTGTGTTCGTTCTCATGGTTGACTTTTCCTCTTAGGCTCTACTTTACACACACACGCTCCCTTGTTACATGCTTAACTATTCTGAATCAGAGAGAGAGAGAGAGAGAGAGAGAGAGAGAGAGAGAGAGATACAGGGAGGAAGAAGATAGCGAAAACGCGTTAAATTCTTTCACCTGCTAGTATTAATTTATTCCTTGTACTAGTAAATAAATTTTTTATTATTAGTAAAATTATTTTGATTCTCCTTTCTTTTCTTTAACTAAATTGAATTCACCAGCATTCTGAGGATTCAATGTTATTGGACTCTTCATGTCCTTTTACTTGCTTAGGCTAATACTACAGTATATGATAACCAAAATTTCAGCGAGAATTAGGGCAAGGCAAACATTAAGGCCCAGCTGGAAGCCACAAATCCCAATGTTAACTAACTCTTTTTTAGGGTCACAAATCTTCACAAGCAACATTAGTTTAAATGGATTCAACCTTTCTTAAACTTTAGTTGATTTGAAATCGAGTCACTGAAATTCTATTTTGGTTTTTGATTTTTGTAAACCTTAATTTTTTTTTTAAAGATTTATTCATCTGTTAATTTTTTTTATAAAAAATAACGAGTTACGTGATTAGCGGTCTTTGAATTTTTTTTTTTTACACACACTATTATTTTTTTATGAAAATTAATGAAGGAAATAGATTTTAAAATTTAGAGAGGTTAAAAACCAAAATAGAAGTTTAGAGATTTAATTTAAAATGAAATTAAAATTCAGAAAAAAAATTCCCCATTTAGCAGCAATATTAATATAGAAATTAATATGATTTCCTGCCTGCATGACGTATTGTTGTCAACTTCCACTTATGGTAAATTCCACAACAGTTTTTACATGTTTTACACTGTGCGGCTGTAAAAAACCAGTTTGTTTTCACCGTTGAATTAAATTAACTAGAGAGGGGAAGAAAAAAAAGAAGGAAAAAGAAAGGAACTGCATGGTGGGATTTTTTCAAGCGATGAAGGGTTGAAAGTCATTGTCAAAACAATAAATGTGGCTGTTTGTTGATGGCAACAAGGGAGCATGTGACCTGGAGCAGTGAAAAATATGTGGAAAAGATTTGGTTGCCTCCTTCCAAGCTAGCTAGGTAGCGAAACGAAACCCAAAAACAACATTCCTTCCATTGATTGCCATACAGTGGAGTGGACTGCTGGACTGGACTAGAGGAGTTATTAATGTTATGTATGTATGTATATATATATATAGATAGATTCTGAAATGACAGGGAAATCCACATACGCTCTGATCACAGCTTCGGAGGAAGATCAGCTCGCATGCATTCTTGTTTTGGCCCACCATTCCACGTTTTATCTTGACAATTTGGTTCTGGTGGGACCCTTTCAGAATTAGGGTTGGCCCCCATTCTCAATTTGCTTGACTGAGTTCTGGCTAGTATGCTTGTCCTGTTTACCACAACTCTAACCAAAGCAGGTAACGGTACTGCTTCTCGTAACAAGATAAGAAGAAGAAGAAGAAGAAGAAGAAGTGAGACAGATCTTAATTTACATGCTATTTTCAATCAACTTGTATGTACATGTAACTAAACTAACATTCTTGTTTATGAATATATTAATCTGGATGTAGATGCGGCACTAATTTGAAAGGCACAACCTGGTGGCCTTTCTTCCTTTTCAATTATGTTTTTGGGTTTTTTAAATATTTAACAAAAATAATTCTGTTTGAAATAAGTGTCATAAAGGTTAATTTTTTCTAATAAATATGATTTTAGAATTTAAATATTATATAATAATAAAAAATTTATTTTAAAAAATTAATTCGATTACTATTGGAATAATAATTTATTAGTTTTTAATTATGTTTTTAGAAGATAAAGAAAGAAATATGATCCAATTTTGTGTTTCATAATCATCCATAGAATAAAGAATTAATTAATATCTCATAACCCAATTCATTTTGCCAATAAAAATAGAACTGCAGCAACAAGATCTGATTGTCAACCAACTACAGATTCCATCCATCACTTCATGGGATTCGAAGAAGACTTGATCCCATGATAAACGGTTTTGCTTTTTATATTATTATTCAAATTAAAATTTTAAAGGAGATTGTAAAAAAAAATGACGTGAATGCACTAACTATGATGTGAATGGTCTGGTTAAAACTCAAGGATCTAGTTAGTTTCTTAACTTTTTTTTTTTTCAAAAATATAGATTCTACGACTCAATCACGTTAGGAAGTTAACGTCAGTATTTAACAAGATAAAAAAAATTTATATTATTATAAATTTATGATTAACTGAATTGACTATCATTATAAAGATCTATCATTATAAAGATGAGAGAAAACGTTAATGTTTTTTTGTAATTCAAATACTTTAAAAAAAAGATTTAAATATATAATCTTTTATAACTATAAAAAAACTCAATACCATCAAATTAAAAATCTATAGTACATTTTAATAAATTTAAAAAACATATCTCAACCTTACCTAGTGTAATTAATTTAACTTTCCATAAGTGGTTCAAAAGAAAAAACTCCAAAACTTTCTATAAGATCAGATGAATGATTCAGTCAAGAAATTCACCATATATATGTGGTTGTCTCTCTCACGAGATTGTCAACAATATTGTTAGCTTTTGAGAAGTGACCCCCCTCTACTATGAAGCCAAAGATGTAATTAGGACCACCATTTTTTTCACTTTTATGCCTAATTTACTTAATGGCCTATGCATGGTGGCCTAGGTATACGTCTTCTCTGTGGGGGCATTCCCTTCATTTATGTAATGCTTGCTTTGATTATTAGTCAAAGGACTCACAATTGTTACCATGTGATATAGCCCGTGACTTTTATCTACTCCATGAGGGAAAAAAAAGAAAAACAAGATGCTTTCCGGATTTTTATTAACTATTCTATTTTTAGTCTGTGACTTAATTTTTTTTATATATTAATCTACATTATTTTTCATTGAATTCAGGAAATTAATGCTTAATCTATGAACATAAAAATCCAATTATTTCAATATAGTTAGCAAATTTACCAGCCAAGTTTCTGGAGCATCCATTCTAAAATATTCTGAATTATAAATACTATAAAAAATTAGATGATTTGACATTAACTCTTCTTAGACTTAAGGAAATGCTAGTCTTTTACTGACATCTGGAATCCATCTTTCATTGCATTTTGGACGTAAAAAAGCAAAAAAAAAAAAAAAAGGAGGTTTGTGTGGTGCTTCCTTAAAGGTGATAAAGTTCAAGGAAGGAGTTAATATAATTTACCTTCAAAACATGATTATCAAGGAGAGAGTCGTCAATCCATGTATTGATGATAATGACGACTCTGCAAGCTAACTACCCGTCAGCTTCAATGAATTGCTGGCTGCCTTTACAAAGGAAGCCCGTTTCATAATAAGTGAAAGGACATAGGAGTCATCTTTGCCACTCGTGTGGTGGGTTAGCCTTTGACCCCAAAGATGGGCTAGCTAGTTATTGCCTATTTCTCAAGTCCAAATTTTTAGGTGGATCGATGGATAAAATCAAAGAAGGTAGCATGCATATGCATAACATCAAAGCTGGTCCTAGACACTCTTTCCATGTCTCTGGTGTAAGTTGTACTTGGAGGGTTGATCAGCTCATGATCACGAGTTACAGAATTCAGTTGGATTATATATGATTTCAGATGCATGGAGTACTTCGATCTCTAGTTTAATTCTTTGGAAAGTTCGGATCTGTCTCTTAATCATAGTTTCGGTAAGTTGAAACCCACTGCTTTCATGGCTTGATCCACTGTCACTTCAACAAGCAAGCAAGGAAGCTAGCTACCTGCCCACCACAAGAAGCTGTTTCTGTGGCTTGACCTAGTTGTAATGACAGAAGTGGTGATCTCATCGTATATATGTTGTGCTCTTTCAATTCCTTCAACTGATCCCCACTCTAGCTAGTAATCAAGGCTCAAATAAATAATGAATAATTAGCTAGGATCATTGACTTGCTGATCCTTTTGCCTAATTCCCTTTACTACCACTATTATGGAGTAATTATGGTGATGTGGACGTGATTGTGCTTTACATTCGTCTAGTTTTCTTTTTTAATTTGGTTTGTGTCATCGATCAAAAGTCATCTCCATATCCAAAATTCTTAATCCTTATGATTAAGTCAAATTAACAAACCCATTTTACCAAACATGAAGATTGCAATTTTAGTTGACTCAGCTTCAGCTGGCAACCATGTAAAAGTCTTGATCAGATTTTATATGTATCATGATATGGGGTTTCTACCAAAAAAAAAATAAAAATGATATATACGAGGTTTCTCTTAGAAAAAAGATATATCCGAATTATTTTTAATTACCGAGTGGATTATTATTATTATATCATAATGCTTTCTAGAGGTGTCCATCTCTAGCTAACTTCTTGTATTCTTGATTTTATGTTTAAAAAGTCTCTTTAGTCTTTTATTATTAATGTCATTCGTCTGCGAGAATTTGAGTAACAGTGTTAAATATTGTTGTTAAATTTAGAATCGTGAATTTGAATTCAAAATCTAATAAAAACTAGAATAATTCAACCAAAAAAAAAAAAAATTGACCTTGAAGATTGAATCTGTACGTTATTCTTTTACTTTTCTTTTGGAATATAGTACTATCTATCTAAAATGGAAATACAGTAAAAATAGAATGAGAAAAAAAAACGATTTTGTAGCTTTTTATTTTCTTTGGAAAATTATATACTATGTTTTTTTTTTGGAATATAGTACAATTTGAATTAATATTTGTTAATATAATAAAAATTAGAAATGTAAAATAAAAAAAATAATGCAATAAAAAAATCCTATTTTTTTGGGGATTTAGTATAATTTTAATTATAAGTATAATAAAAATTACAAAAAGTGAGAGAAAAAAGTTGTGATTTTTCGGTGGTCACTTTTGTTCTTTTGAGAATTTATATGCTATGATTTCTGTTTTCAGTAATTTAGTTTATTTTCAATTTTTCTAATATTTGTCGTTTTTTTTTATTTATTTATCAAACTTGACACGTATAACAATCCTTTATATTCAACGACAATATTTAACACCCTTACTCGCACATTCTAATGAAAGAACATAACTAAGATTAAAAAAATTGTATATAAATGATATTAGTACGCACCCAAAAAAAAAAAAAAAAAAGGATTAAGAGACACTTTAAACACAAAATGAAGAACACAAACATTAATCCAAAACAAATGATAATAAAATAACCTACAAACATATTAATTAACTAATAAACAGTGTACATTCTCACTCATTTGCACTGTTTAGATCTGTATCGAAAGTAAAAAAGTCTTAAAATTGCCTTATTTTTCACAATTCACTTGATAGAATTTTACAGAGCTAAAGGTAAACGAGGATGGATTGAATATCATAATCCTAAAGAGGAGTGGTACATCGTTTTCATGCCAAAAGATGGAGGAGTAAATGATTATTACAGTGTTTATAGTTAATAGTCGATAAACGGGCACGTGGCACGCGCCAGGCCATTAAAAGTAGTATTATTAACAGTAATTGCAGTGTAAACAAAATATAATTAAAGATTCAAGTAGTGGTCCTGGGGAAATGGAGGATTTGTCACCCATAGAACTTTCATCATTTTGAAGGTTGCCTCGATTGGACAAGCAAAGCATAAATACCATCCAATATACCCTCTGTCTCGGTGCTTGGTGAAAGTGATGCACCGCCCAAAATAGTAATATGGCAACATCACACTTTTTCACATCCATTCTCTTTTTTCACGTTATATTTTATATGCTCATTATGCCACCATCAAACCTTTTTCTTCTCGCAAACAGTCCTCTACCATCCAATTCATGCTCTAATCCATTTTGCTCAACTGTCTTGACTGAACTCGCCATTCTTTATTGGTTTAAACCATTTGTTTGAAAACTTCAAAGAGATCATCGAAGATGGGTTTAGCCTGTTAAATAGTGATATCAATACACTCAAAATGAGTTTTCAGCTAGTGGCAATGTCTAACGAAGCAAGAAAAAAGGGCAGAATTGAAAGGATAGAGTACTGCTATCAACCCTAAAGGCAAATATATATACAAATAAAAGAAAAAAAATAGTGGAATACTTGTAGTTTCAATTTTCCCATGAGACTGCCAGCCAAGGAGGGAACAATACACACCAAAGAAGCTTTGCTTGCTCCCTTCTTGCCTGCTGCATAGTTTTCATTTTGATTGTAAAGAAATGAAATACTAATCCTTTCTCAGTCTATGCGTGGCTGGCAATCATTTGACATCCAGTTAACCCAGTCCTACACAATTTAAAGCCCTTCCCTTGTCCATTAAGGGTAACGTGTAATCGTACAGATTATAATGGTTGAGTTGGTGTCTTAACTGTTTATCTGACTCTCCTCAGATCACTACCCCTTTTTTCTGTTAATGATGTCCCTTCCTATCCTTTTGACCGACAGCCCTAATTATCCACTAGTACAAACTTATTGGCTCAATGCTTCCCCTTTTTCAGTATAAAATAAGAACTACATTTTTCGCTTTCTTAAAGGACATCGAGTAAGATGCAAAAGTGTGTTTTCTGCACAACCAAGAGAAGAAAGCAAACCTCTGGTTTTCTTAAGGGCCATGGCCATTAATTACCCTATGCCGCTTTGACATGAACCTCAAGACAAAGACCAGGACTGCAGCTCTTGTCTTTCCATGAAGATTTGACATTACCATTAAAAAAAAAAAAAACAAATCACATAGAACCCACATCTCCTACCCAGATCTTGAATTCGAGCCTCTCGAGATATATGCATTATGCCACTCAAATTCAAGGGCTGCCCCTATTGAGAGAGAATTAGGGTGAGAGTCAAACACTGATATGTGATTACTACATCAGATTTCACTCTAGCTTGCTAAAGGACAACAAGATCATCATCCAGGCCGAAATTTCCGACAGTGATTTGTGAAGTTTAAGTTGTTAGCTAAACAGACAATGTCTGCAACAAACATGAAACGTAATGCACTATAAGTTAATACAAAAATTCCTAAAAACTATGTTCTCGGCTCAGATAAGTCCCACGATGTTAACAGCATATATTTTACAGTAAGATCCGGGGGATATTCAGGTACAAATACCAATGCAAAGAAGCCCATCAAATCCTTTAAACACTTTACCTCCCATTTCTTTGATCAGTTGGCCTGTTATGAAGATTAAAAGGACCGTTCCACAACAGTACCTTAATGCCATTTTTTTCTTTCAAGGCCCATGATCTTCAGTAGTCAAAGTATCAAATACCATTTTCATCGAGGACCAGATGAAGCATGTGGTTTCCCCTTCGTGGAGTTTAAGTGTTGGGTGACAAAGATAACTCCCATCACAATTAAAAGGCAGCCAACCAGCGTGCTGAAGAAGAGGGCACCTGGTGACCTAGTCTGGACAAAGCCATACACCCCATTTGATGTCACAACAATTAGGTCAGTAAGTCCGTCATTTGAGAAATCCTCACAGATCAGAGCATGAGTGGGTGGTGCAGGAAGATCGACTGATGTCTGGATACTTCCTCCAGGAGATATAACTGCTGCTTCTTGATCACCAGCTGCAAGGATCATTTGCTGATTGTCATGCGCACGCAAAGAGAATGCCTTTAATGTGGGAACCACCATACCACCTTCCATCATCCCTGACGGAGAAGGAAGATTTGACCATGTAGCACCTGTCAGTATTTGCCATTGCCAAACAGCATCGTGGCCATGCAGGCCAGGAGAGTATGATGTCACCTGAAAGAAATGGTACGTTTCTCAATCTTCTTGTCGCAATTAACAGTGCAAAGGAATGAGTGTGTTTACTGATGTATTGATCCTAAAACACATTGACCAATTCCCCCCCTCCTCCCGGGAATCCAATCGCCTCTCTCCTCTCCCAAAGTTGAAAAGGCGATGGACAAACACTTCCTGAACAATTTCTAATATCTAAAACAAGAAGCAAGGTCTAGATTAGAGCATACCTCCCCTCGACTTGTTAAGAAGACAACATCACCATGACTCCCCTTGCGATGCCTATGGCCATCACTTCTTGGGATGAGAATAGGGGTCGCCACCTCTAAAGAAGATACATCAGTTCGACCAAAATTTCTGCCGAAATCTCCATGTTGGAATAAGTTAAATGGCGAATGATGACATATAGAAGCATTGAAAAGTTGCTCCCGCACTGGTACACCTGAAGTTGCAACAGCCCAACAAGGTCGCAGCACTTCCATTGATCCACTAACGACAGTTTGCTCGGCTCCATTTCCTCCAACAGCCTGAAGAGAGGGAAATGTCAACCGTTACCATGAACATGCGTATTCCAGCAAACTTTCTCAATAAGCACTTCACCTTTCCAAAGTAGTTTCTAACAAGTCTTTGTATTATCAGTGCACTTGAGTTCTCATTAGTGCTAAGTTTATTTGCACAAAAAAGCCTTTTACTCGCCCCACAACTTGAATTTATAAACAAAAGAGAAGGTTAAACAAATTGAGTTTTCTGATCGGCCATGAACCTAAAACAGTGAATAGCACAAACGTATAAAGTTGGCCTTTCTCAAGCTAATTTACAATTACCAATCACAGTAAACCATATTGCTGTGGTTTGGGTTAAATGAGGAACGTTTTTGTGGCACAAAAAAAAAAAAAAAAAAAAAAACAGCATTCCACAACCAGTGACAGAGTTATGGCATATTATTTAATAAATATTTTAGAGAGAGCATACTTGGATATATATATATATATATATAACATAATCCATGAGAGAGTCGAAAATAAACTAATACAGTTTTGATTTATGAATTGCCTTGGATGAAAGAAACAATTGCACACCTGGACATGATCTAGGACTCCATCACCGTTAATATCAGCATGAAGGCCACCTTCTTGAAGATGAAGCTGATGAAAGCAATGAATTTCATCAAACTTGTTAGAACTGCCTTGTTAATCAATATAATCAGCAGTTGCAATCATATCAGTTAACATTCAACTTTCATATTCACATGAATAAGCATTAGTGAAACATCACCAGTGTTTTTAAGAATAAATCTCTAAAAGAAACAGGCTAGACATTCTTTCTACGATGGCAACATGTATGTGTGATATAGCAGGTTTAACAGCAAGAAGATGACTGGCACATAATACGTAAGCCATTTACCAGCTAAATGTCATTTGCTATAGAATATTCTTCCCAATAAACCACATTATGGCAAAATGTCATGTTTTTAACATTTACCTTACAAAGGGTGCGGCCGGAGGCCAAATGAACAGCTTCTATCCCTTCCTTTTGGTGTGCCACAACAACATTAGGAACCCACCAAAGCTGAGTGTAGTTTGTAATGGTTGGAATATAGTGTGATGGCTGAAGCAACAAAATACAATAGACGAGCATCATTTATCAAACACTGTATAGGTAAATTTGGAGGTTGACTCATACAGATGTGAAGCACTGCAACCGAATGCCAACATATAGCACAGCAAGCTAGACAGCATTACTTATGGAAATATATTGGTTTTTTCCTAAAATTCTCTCAACAAGTTAAAAGATTCATATAAAAGAGCAAAACAAGAACGGGGGCACATGCATTTTCTGGCAAAATTTCAGACTTAATTCGTAAACACTTGATAGAATAGACAGAGTTATTCAAATTCACAATTCACAAACATTAGCAACACAATGCCATTCCCACAATGAAAAATTAAATCCACATCACTTCCTTTTCCATTAATAAAACATGCATGTCCAACTTAGGGAAGTTACAACTTCATTAGCCTCCAACCATCCTACAGAACAGGAGCCAGATATGATTTTTCAAAGGATTTCAAATTTGAGTGGTAAAAAAACTGGATAATAGACACATCATCATGCTTTTGAATTGCATCAAGAAAATAATAAAAAAGAGCCAAACGTTTATGCGGAAAGCAAAGACGATTATTCAAATGAAGTTTAGGATTACATCCTAAAAGATACAAGCATGCATTCATGACATATTTTGGTCCGCTTTCAAAGGCACATGATGTGTAATAAATTCTGCCTAAGCTTTTAGGGTAAAGTTATAACCATGCAGAAAAAAAGCCAATGGCAGGTGGTGACAGTTGCTATTGTCAAGAATCCAAGGTCATTAGAATGGAACATAAATATTACATAAACCTTGTATAAATGCATCTGCTGATGTGGTCAGCAGATCTTACCTTCTTCGATTTTGTTGAGCCAGCATATTTTGCAGCTTTCCCAATCAGGTTTGAAATTTTCTTTGTTGAGTCTTTCCCAGGAGGATGGTTTTCCTCAGGCTTGTGGAAGGGGTAGTTTGAGGTCTTTCCATTTGATTTTTTTGATGTTTTTCTTTTGTGGCGCCTAAAGTGTGATAGCTGCAATACAGTATCTTCTCTCCTATCCTGACATAAAGATGAATAAACGTCCTGTGAATAACTCCCTCCATACAAAAACATGATCATAAATCGATTGCATAAAGAAAATTTTCTAACATACTTACCCAATGATGTGGCATAACTCCAAGAATTGATTCCCTAAATTCCCTGCATTCAAACTAAGGTGTAACATGCCTCAGAAAATCTTATCTTAAAGAAAAATTAAAATAAATGGAAATAATCCGAAGCTTATCCTCCTTTTTCAAGTAAATCTTTAGCTTGGTTGATTTCATTCTTTTTTTTATTTTTATTTTAATCTTTTTTTTATTATTATTTTTTTTGTGGGAGGGGGTTGCTCACCAAATTTGTCAAACCAGGACCTGAAATTGACTTAAAAAAATGAATCAAATGCAATCTAAACTCGATAAACAGATATTTTTAATGACTCAACAATCACATTCTCTTTGACAATTATGAAAGATAATTTTTTTAGATGATGTCGTCAATAACAAGAATCTATGGTTTTGTATCTGCTTTGAGTTTGAAAGCTACCTCTCCAGGATGACGACTGTTTAAAGCATGCACATCAAGCTTGTAGTTATGTTGTGGAATCAACTGTGACACAGCATCTGAAGACTGTGCTTCCATGTTCTACAAACACCAAAACAGAAACCTCAGTAATACAAATGGAGAATACATCTCATAGCTGTACCATGGCAATACTTATGTTCAAATATTGATGACTGGAGCCCAAATTAGAGCTCTCGAATTGCCTGTAAATTTCAGAACCCACATGGATGATGCATTAGAGTATAATTCCTAGGTACTTTACGCCATAAAACCATTTGAAGTATTTCTCATTTTGTTCAATTATCACTTAAATATAGAAAACACACAACTTAAAGAAGTTTTTTTTTTTTTTTTTTTTTTTTTTTTGAAGAATAAAGGAAAGTTGTGCATAAAAGATAGCAGCATCAAAGAATAGCACAATATGCAATTTTGTTATCACCTTGTTGATGCATTGGTTAACTCTACAACAATGTAATATTTGAACAGCCTACTAAGTCATACTTTCCCAGAAGCAGCAGCAACTTACTAAGTCATGAACAAAAAATCACTTTCCAAGTGAATAAAAGTAAGAGGCAGGAATAGAAGGATGGTTTCATAAAATAATTGACAATAAACTGAAATTAATAATATCCTTCATGAGATATGATGCAAGAAAACTAAAGAACAAGTATTCAGAATTTAGGTCACCTCGTTCTTTCTACTCCATCGAAGGGTACCAGTTCGACCAGCTAAAACATACAAGGCAAAATGGCGTAAATTCACCGTTCCAGAATTCTCTGATGGCTACAAAACGATACAAAAAGCAATGCGTAAATACCCAGCTGCCAGCAAGAAAAGAAAAGGAGAACATGAACTTGTCATCACTAGTTCACATTTTAAAGAATGGGAAATGCACTAGCTAGAACTGAGAAAGGGTTCAAAATATTTATGAGCGCAAATTCTTTCTTGATAGTCAGAGAAGCATGATCAGGAGGTTTCTATGTGTTACACAACAACCAGTATTTTCAAATGGCATCACAAAATATCCATAGAAAAGTTACACACAAAATTTAACAGGTTGGCCCACTTATGGATCAACAAAAACCATCACTTCAGGATGTTTCCAATAGTAAATACTAGTGTCCTAATAGTTGTTGCCAGGCTTAAACGATAATAGATCTAGTTGCAGGAATGTGCAAATCACATTGTCAAAATAATACACGAGAAAGCCAGAAATGTCCATACCTCTTTCTCACCAGCACTTCTTCTATGCTGCTCGGCACTTTTCTCTGCCGTAACAATTTCTTCAAAAGGATCTAAATAAATCTGAAATGGAGGCATATAAAAGGTACGCATCAGTGCATTGCATAGGAATGATATTCATGACACTTGCATCATACAATCTTACAGCACCTCTATAAAATAGCTGATGTGAACACATTATAGAAAGAAGTTTGGTTTCTATGTATCGAAAAGTGTAAGATTACAGACTCAACTATCTACAATTTAAAGTGAGCATTTTCACTCTAAAGTAAGCACAAGAACAGGACTTGGAAAAGAAAATTGACCAAGAGAGCCTGACCATAAGCTTATTTCAAACCTCAACATGCCAAAAATCTCAACCAATCCCCTTGAGGTTTTAATGAAAACTAACAATATTAGGAGATGCTTCATAAGCATCATATTTCCACAGCTGTGAGGTATTACTTCCTATTCTACCTTGAGAAAATTCAAAGCCAATGCATTGAACATGCTATTAAGTTATTGGTAATCATTCCAATTAAGTTATTGGTAATCATTCCAATTAAGTTATTGGTAATCATTCCAATCAGGCACATGGTATTTTCCCATCCTGAAAATTTAAACGCATTAAAAAAAGGGAATTTTTTTTTTTTGACCATGCAATCAGGTTTAGAAAAGTCTCTCTCTCTCTCGATATCACGATCAAGTCACTGGAAGTTCGATAAATACAACAAAAACCAAGAACGCAAAATCACAAGTAACATACATGTGGCTGCATTTCCATTCTCCCACCAATGATAACCAACCCCGTATCCCCATGCTTCAATGTATAGTTACTTATTGATATTGCAATCTCCCTATGATGTGCATTATGCGGAAAATCCTCCTGCACCAAAAAATAAAACACACCAACTTATTGCATTTTGCAAGATGGACACATAAAACAGGAAAGAGAGCAAACGAATACTCAAAGCTACCAATGATAACAACTTTCACACAACCTGCACATTAGTTTCCCACAACTTCTTAAGGTTATGATCAAAGCACATAACAAACCACCCTGAAGTAACAACAACCAAAACTTGCTTTAATGGTTGCCCTTCCTTATATCTCCTATCAATTACACCAGTCGCCATAGCCACTGCACGTCTACCAGTCGCAACCCGTGTTTTATCAGGCAATAGTGATAGTTCCGTTAACAATCTCGCTTCACTAAACCCCTCATCTACTCTTCTTGAATGCGGCTCCAATACCTAAAAAACACATACAAAAACAAGCTCACAATTAACAAAATAAAGGACATGTGATTTTCTAAATCTGAGAATTACACTAGCTTAGTTTTCACAGTTTGTGCAAAATATTAAAATAAATACATAAAAGAACTACACAAACTCACAATTAATATATAAAAAAAGACATAATTTTCAAAATCATGCCGTTTTAAAAATTCGAACAAAAAATATTAGAATGAATAGCTAAAACAGAAACTTTCACATTAAACAAATGACAAGTTGTTAGCAGAAGTGAGACCTGGATTTTGGCGTCGTGAGTGGCAACGAGGATTTCTTTCTTGCCGTCGCCATTAAGATCGGACACAATCGGCGGGGGAGACGGTCGGTCTCATATTTGATTGGATACTCGTCGGTTAAATGAAACCATGCCTCTCTAAAAGAGAAATCTCCTTCGTGCTGTATTTAAATACAAGGAAACAATGAAACTTAAGTTGATTAGGGTTAGGAGCAATTATTAATGTGAAAATTGCGGGTTTAGGGTTTAGAGAGAGGATAGTACGGACCTGGAGAGAAAAGAAGATGGCGAACGCGGAGAGCATGAGAATGGCTAGATCGCGTTTTCTCATTTTGGAGTGATTTCGATTCTATGCTTCTGTTGATGGATCAAGAGTGGAGGTTGATCATTCGAGCCCTCGGTAATGCAGACCAAGATGAAAAGAAAAGAAAAGAAAAGAAAAGAAAAAACTGGAACTACGAGTAGCTACTGAACAGGTTTAGAAATTAACTGACCAAAGAAGAAATGTTAAATGACACGTCGTTTAACAACAGATATGTTATCCGTTATACACCCTTTTATAATTTCTGTAATTAGGATAATATGGTTTGAGGAGCTTTGATGCTATAGTAGTTAAGAGTGTAATTAGTTACTATAACTAGTTGTTGAGGTGGCATGAGTTAGTATAGCATAAGTGGCAAGGAGAGGGGAGAGGGGAGAGAGAGAGAGAGAGGATGATTCATTCATATTTATTTTAACGATTATAATAGAAAAACATATATAATTTTTTTCTCAATTCTTCTTTTTTTCTCCATTTCACGTAATTATTAAGGAAATATTAACAATTTAGTAGACCAATCATGGTAAATAACAATAGAATTAGAGCTATAAAATAGCATAAAAGAAAGCGAAGAGCATATGCATGACATGCATAAGAATTTCAAGAAGGTGTTTAAGCTATGAAAAAGCAAATGAAAGAGCAAAATTACCAAACACAACCTCAATTGGAAGTTCTAACAAAGTCAATTCAATCATTAATCACGAAAAAGAAGCCGAGAAAGAACAATAAGCGTCTTTTAGTTCCTCGCATGGTGGAAATGCGACCACAAAACCGATCCATCAAGCTCGTATGATGAGCCCTTGTTAACTCCTAAGTTTATGAAGTCTCGCCTACAATTCTTCAATACCTAGGATAGATTAGCATCTCGTTTGGGGGAGAAAATGTTAGAGGTTGGATTCATAAATGTAAGAAGTATTTCAAGATGAACTTCATTCTTGTTCATTAGTGGGTGGAAATTGCTTCCATGTATTTGAAAGGAAGAGATGAGATCCGATTTGATGGATTTATGGTCAAAAGTGATCTAAAAAACTCAAAAGAATTTATGAGAGGGATTTGTAAAAGGTTTAGTAGTAGGAAGGATACGAGTGAAGGAGTTCATTAAACTTAAACAAGAACAAGAAGTTGAGCGAGTACATGAAGAAGTTTGAGGAGCTTAAGTCTTTAATGATTGCCAATAATTAATATTTGCTCGAGTCTTATTTTGTGTTTATCTTCATTAGCGGACTCAAATAAGACATCAAATATATACTAAAGATCCTATAACTCGTAACTTTGATTCAAGCATTTAACAAGCTAGATGACAAGAGGAGTCCGTGAGTGCTTATGGTTAAGAAATCTAGAATTTCAAAGAGAACTTTTTCAGCTTATAACAACACCAAAACATACCCCGTCTATAATACCAATAAGTTAAATACTAACCCATTCCACAAACCTTATATTAGTTTTACTAGAAATGAAAACACTAACCAGACTTAAACTCGTCAATACTACCTTACAAAAACCTCATATAGAGACTTTGCGGGATCATAAGAGGAGATTAGGATTTTGTTTCAAATATAGAAAGAAATACACTCCTGGACATCAATGTGTAAGAAAAGCCTTAAATGTGACAAAAGGTGTGGAAGGAGAGGATGATGGATTCATGGATATAGAGGAAGGATATGAGGAAGATGGATTACTAGATGACAAGAATTATGAGGAATTTAGATTGTCTTTGCATGCTCTCAGTAGGGAAATTATGTTCACAATACTATCAAAATTAAGGGATGTTGTAACAACAAGGAGATTATCATCCTAATTGATAGTGGAAACACGTATAGTTTCATCGATCTTAGGGTGGTAAAAGACATCAAGGCTATGATTGAGGAAACTATTACACTTTATGTGATAGTAGCCAATAGAGATGTGATAAAGTGTCATGTAAGGAGTCCAAGGTTTACATGATTCATGCAAAGACATGAGTTTAAAATAGATTTATGGGTACTAAAATTAGGTGGTTGGGATAAGGTTTTAGGGGTGGATTGGCTTAGGATGTTCTCTCTTATCTTGATTGATTTTGTCAAGATAAAACTATTGTTTAAGAAGGAAGAAAGGATGATTAAGCTCAAGGGAATGATTGACATGGAATAAGGTAAATTATAACAGATTACGATTGTCAATGTACATAAAACATTGAGGGAAATTGTTTGTGGGTTCGTTGGTCGGTTTTTCTCCATTACGGATTGTGAGGAATTCATTGAAGTCGAGAATAGAGAGATAAAAGCCTTATTAAAGAAATATAAAACTATTTTAAATAGCCAAAAGAGTCGCCTCTAATAAGGAAATTTGACCATAGAATTCCTTTGGTTCCAAGGGCTCGAGTAGTAAATATTAGACCCTACAATAGCTCCTTCATACACAAAGAAGAAATTGAAAAATTGGTTAAGAAAATGCTTTAAAATGGTGTCATTCAACCAAGTTACGATCCGTTCGCTTTACCAGTCTTATTGGTTAAGAAGAAGGATAATTCATGATGATTCTATATGGACTACATATAGTCATAATAAAAAAAAAATTCTCAACTCCATTGATTGATGATCTTGTTAATGAGTTATAGGCATCTTATTTCTTTTCTAACATTGACTTACGATTTGGCTATCATCAAGTCAAAATGCATGAGGAGGACATCGAGAAGATGACTATAAGAACTATGACTTGAAGGTTATGCCATTTAGATTAATTAATGCACCAACAACCTTCCAAGCTATGATGAATGAAGTTTTGGAACCTTATTCGAGGAAGTTTATGCTTGTTTTTTTTTATGATATACCGATATACGATCCTACCTTAGAACTCCGCATTAAGTATTTTGTATAAGTGTTAGAAGTTTTATCCAAGCATCAATTATTCGTTAGGTGGTCTAATTGCTCTTTTTGTCAAACTCAAATAGAGTATTTAGGGCATATAATCTTAATTTTGTGACAATTTATAGATCCAAATAAGACTTTAAGAACTATAAATTCAAGGTTATGCCATTTAGATTAATCAATGCACCAAGCAACCTTCCGAGACCATGATGAATGAAGTTTTAGAATCTTATTCGAGGAAGTTTAGGCCTTTTTTTTAATGATATACTTGATGTGCAGCCCTACCTTAGAACTCCACATTAAGTATCTTGCACAAGTGTTGGAAGTTTTGTCCAAGCATCAATTGTTTGCTAGGTGGTCTAATTTCTCTTTTTGTCAAACTCAAATAGAGTATTTGGGGAATATAATCTTAAGTGTTGGGATAGTTATAGATCTAAAGAAGACTATTGCTATTAGCAATTGGCCGGTTCCATATTTCATGAAAGATTTGAGAGGATTCCCGAGATTGGCTAGATATTACAAGAAATTCATTAGAAATTATGATCTAATAAGTATGCCTTTGATTGAGTTACGAAGAAAAACACCTTTGGGGTGGAATGACCAAGCCCAAGCAGCTTTTGATCAATTGAAAAAGGTCCTGTCTAAGGCTCTTATTTTAGCTCTTTTAATTTTTTAAAGCCTTTTGTCTTAGAAATTGATGCTTGTGGCACTAGAATTGGAGTTGTACTATCTCAAGATGGCATGCCATTGGCTTTCTTTAGTAAGGCTTTATGTCTTAAATACCTTGGGATGTCTATTTGTGAAAAGAAATGCTTAGCTATTATCATGGCGATTAACAAATGGAGGCATTACTTAGAAGTCGATAAGCTTACCATCAAAACATACCATGAGAGTCTCGGATTTTTCTTGGAATAGAAAATACATACACCTATACAAAGAAAAGGGCTTACCAAGCTATTGGGGTTATGGTATGATATCCAACATAGGAGAGGAAAAAAATATAATGGCTGATTTGTTACCTAGAAGGGTACCTAATCCGGAAAAAGCTATTACTAGAATAAATGAAGGAAGATTCGATGCTATTACAAGCTGTTGTACCTATATGGATGTTGATATTATGGCTTAATATATACTAATGACACTAAGGTGCGGGATATTATTGACACCAAGTATATTAATGCTTGTGTTTTTCCTTAATATAGTTATTAAGATGGTACACCGAGATATAATACCAAGCTATTCATTGGGAGAGATTATGAGTTATGGAAGAAATTGGTAGAAACAATCAATAACTCGGTTATTGAAGGATATACAGGTGTGCAAAACTCTTATATAAGGCTAAAAAGTATATTTTATAAGCCATCTATGAAGCAAATGATGAAGGTTTATATGGAAGAATATGAGGCTTATATGAGGGCTAAGTTAGAGAGGGTGGCTTTATCCATGCTTATTGCAACCTTTACCTATACCGGACGAGGTTTAGAAAGACATTTCCATCATTGTTTTAAAAAAATGATCGTTATGTAATGTAACAACCATTATATAATTGTAACAGGACATCTTGTTATCATTATTCGACGTTATCGATGCCTTGACATTCTTTCATGCCTCTAACGATGAATAATGGTGTTACCATTATGTAACATTATTATTTATTGTTATATAATGATGTTACATAAAAAAAATAGCTACTGAAATTCAATAAGAAGCCTAGGACAAGGACAACCAAACAAGTATTTTCAAATCCCATCTATGTCGTGAGGGTCTAATTTATAATTTACTCAAGTAAATGACTGATCTTTGGTGAGAAGTGGTTTTTTGATTTTTTGCTTTTTTCTCCCATAATATAACATTTTCTTTGATTTCAAACTAGTGATTCAAATTTAAAGTGGGCGGGACGGGACGAGTTATCATTGTTTTTTTATTTATTTCTTGTGACTTTCTTTGCTCTTCAAAGGCAATCTAACATTATCAACTAAGGGAAAACCCGAAGCAAGTCGGTAACTATTTTTAGAGTTATCAACTTGCAACTTGCAAGACTTAAGAGTTCAAAGAATAAGAATACAAGCTAAAGGGCACCAACTTTCAACAAGAAAAACGCACTTGCCATGTGATTAATTCATACTTTAGAGAATAAGAAAATTTGCGAGGCTTAAATAAATTAAA